TGAACTTAGGTGCACCACAAACTTGAGACCAAAAACCCCACTGAGGGGCATTCACTTCCCGACTCGCGGGTTTGTCTAACCAATTCCTGTTATTTTTCCTGGAAAATTAGGCTCTGTTACTGGCGCGCCGGTGCAAAGTGAAAATTGAATAACTTTTGTGACAAACTACCCGGGAAGTACCGTTTCAGATGGGTTCTATATGTCTTGGACCCATGTTGTCCTAGTGTCAAATCAGGCTCCCTTGGCTTTACCAACCATCCTTTGGAATGAAGAACAAGGTAACTTCGATGTTCTCCTCTAGGATCTCTCAACTGTTCTGTGCCCAGCTTCTCCTTAGATGTGAACATGTACTTTAAGAGTTGGATCGAGTTGTAGCCATTGTTGAAGTGGAAAAAACAATGTTCTAAATAAACACCATTTCCACCCCAGTTAATCGTCATATGCCAGAAGTGTGGGGAGTGGAAACCAAACCATATTTCCTATCTTTGAACAGCGAGCTGTTCAATGCTAGCCTTCGCTAACCAATCAAAGATAGAGGCTCTAAACCTTACCCATACTTTGATCTGGAAAAGTGAGACTTCGTTTTGGAAGAAGAATTCCTTGAGGAATCTGATAGAGTAAACAGAATCCAAAAGTACGAGATCGTTCTAATGGTACCTCCGTTTGGACATCGGAGGTGGTAGTTCGTGAGGCGGCATGGATTTCAAAGTCGACATCTGACTGTTTGTAAGAATCCAGTCCCGCTATACCAAGTGAATTCATCTTTTGTATGACGAAACAACTTAAGTCTTCTAAAAAACTGCCTAGTAAACTGATTGACTAGGAAAAACCAGTCTAATTTTCGAAGGCCAAAGATGCATAAGTAAGCTGCCAAAGTTAAGTCTAAAACATTTCTAAGTTCCTGAAGATTTGGGAAAAGAACACATCAATATGACATCAAATTTCCGCTGGATATATTTCAAATTGTAGCAGGATGAATGTTAGCTATTCAAAAGTGTGCACAGGTTAATCATCTGGAACCAGCTATCGCTTGGCTACACTGCTATACCTTTGGCCAGTTTGATAAGCTAGTTTTCAACTTCTTTCATCTTTCAGATCTTTCAGTATCTTGCAGGTGATGATTCC